TAAAATGGAAAATGGGTAACTATTTTTGTTTATCAAGTATTCCGTTATCTAAGTAATTACAGTAGCGTTAAAAAATGAACGGTTATAAAAAGATAACACTATTTACATTATTCGGACTATTGTCCTCATCTTTGTCGCCATATTTACCACAACGTTTCGGCAGTTGTATTCTCTGGCCTTCTTCAGGTGGTTGGAATGTTGAACTGAAGCCTTTATTTCGCTCACTGGGGTAGACTGTTCTAGTTCCACGTGCCATGTTTAATGGATGTCAGTTATCAATTATCTCCTGTTAATTCCCCTCTGAAAGTTCTCAACTGTCTTCACCAGGTATTGAACTCACAGTTCGTTTTTTTTTTTAGATAAATTTTATAATATAAGCCGATAATAAAAATACATATTTGAATATTTGTCTCTCTTAAAATTTTTTGAATGTTTTGATTTTTTTTTTTCAGGTTTATTTTGAAAGTGTTAAAAGAAAATTTCTGATTTTTCTTTAAAAAAAATGGACGATTTAATTAGATACAAAAATTTACATTTATTAAAAAATATCGAAATATAAAAGATGTATGTATTTACTATAGAAAGATTATAAATAAGAATTTTCAGGATAAAATACTAATGATTATTATATTTTTGAAAAATTTCTAAAAATAGAAAATATACATAACATGAAGTTTCTTTTAGGAGAAATTAAATTGATTTTTTTTTTTTTTTTTTTTTTTGTTTTAGATTTGCGTATTTAACTATCTGCCAGCATAAGATGACAAAGAAGGAATTAGAAGAATTTTTCAGAGTCATTCAAGAATTGAAAGAAAAATGTTTGGAAGCGGACCCTGATGAAGACAGACTTACAGAAAATTTGTAAATGCAATTTCTCAATTCCGCTATTTATAAAAAGAACAGAAGAATGCCATGCGATAAACCGCTCTAAATAAGAAACGGGGTTTCATGCGAAACGCAATCTTCAGCTGCTGGGTGAATACTGACAATTACTTGTCTCTAATTTGAAAACATGTCAGTTTATCGTAATGCTGGTGTAGATTGCGTTTGGCCTGAAATTCCGTGTAGTGAAAACAGTGTGGAATAATAAGTATATTTATTAATATATATAGTTTATAGTTCTGTTATATAACATCAAACACTGTTTCAATAATAGCAGCGCTTTATGTGCAATTCATATATTTATATATTTACATATATACTTTAAAAAATAGGAGATCAATTGATTTCGCTACCTTGGTTTCAACTATACGGTATCTTCAGGTGATTTTTATTAATTGACCTCCCAACGCTTTTTTTTTTAAAACAATGAACAAATTTTTAATTCTACTGTTCCCTGGTTCAGTTCAATCCTGAGCATTAACCTTTTATGTATTATATTAACATCGCCTGCTGAGATGCATTGGTACGCATAGAAACACAACTGCAATTGTGTAGCGATTTTTACGTTTTCGGTGTAATATTCTTAAATAAATAATATTGCTCTGCTCTGTATTGACCCCTCTTTTAAATTAAATGTTACAAACGTTGAAATTGTACTCATTGTACCTATATATATATATATGTGTGTGTGTGTGTGTGTGTGTGTGTGTGTACTTAATGAGTTTTTAACAGTCATTTTATCCAATGAATGAAAAAAAAACGTCATTGAAACAATTGTCTTTCATTCAAAACTTTTTACGACGTTTTTTCTGTATTATAATAGAGTTTAATTAACTTGCAGATAATAATGATTGCTTTTATTAAGAACCAAATTATATATTTATTAGGTGCGGGGAAAAAAAGTTTTCAGCGCTCACGTTTTCTGAAAACTGGAGACTGAATTCTCAATAGAATACCGCTTTTTATTCTTTGATGTTTACTTAATAAGAATACTAGTTTTTTGTTTAGTTTGTTTTGTTTTTTTACTAATAAAATAAACCCTGAGAATTTACACACAACTAATGCAGCCCGCACGCACGCATATAGACATAAATTTTTCAAGGTCAAAGTCGACTGGAAAAGAAAAAAAAGAAGCCGGAAAAGAGCTCCACAAGCGAAAAGTACGATAGAAGAAACTGTCAGCATAGAACTTACGGTTGCATCTAGCCATTTCGAAAATAAAAATAATGAGACCTTACCGCCAACCTTAAATTCATAAAGTCTAGCTGCCATAGAGGAAAATTAATCAGAATAATTACCCTGAAAATATTTATAGAAAATATACAGGGGGGCTATGTTACGTCGGTGGGAAAGTGGCTGAAGCCGATATGCCAGGTCAGCACCAATAGTATTGCAGATTCTTCTTTGGATTTTATGTAAAACCTTTAAATACATAGCAGAATCGCCTGGCCAGATGTGACAGCGATATTTAATGCATTTAAAAATGGCAAACTTATAAATGAGTAAAACAGATGATGGCGAGAGCAATTGGTTGGTAAATGTAATGTAAAATATTAATTTTAAAAAAAATCTACAGACTATTAAGATATAAATATGGAGATCAAAAAATTGATCATTAGATAGATAGATAGATAGATAGATAGATAGATAGATAGATAGATAGATATGTATTATTATCAATGATATAGATTATATGGGCAGATCATGTGAGCAATGACGAGGTTTTGAAGAGAATGGAAACAAAGAGGAAACTTATACTTAACACCAAGAAAAGGCAGTTGAAATTTCTGGGACACGTATTGAAGGAGGAGGGCCTGGAAAATCTGTTACTCATAGGACAGATTGAGGGACAAATTAAAGCAACATGTGACATACTTGATGGACTTGAGCAAAACAGGGTTTGGGAGAAATAATAAAAAGACAAAACTTATTACAAGCTATAAGGGACAGGAAGATGTGGAGGGCTATGATCGCCTACGTTCTGAAGGGACACGGCATATAAAAAGAGAAAAAAGCAGACACAGCTGAAGAATGAATTAATATTTGAATGGAACTATAGTAGCAAAAAAGATTTCCACTCTATTTATGGAGGAGTGGTTACATCTGACTATGCACTTCCGGTTCTTTATAACCATAAAAATGTATTAACGCCATAAAAAAAAAAAAAAAATGCATGGTTCTATTTTTTCTTTCTCATTTTCTTTTTTTTTTTTTTTTTTTTTTTTTTTTTTCACCATTGGATGCTGTTTTTCCGTTCATACACTGATGTAGAAATTATAAACATACATTATTTTTATTTGTTTTTGTCCAAAACAAATCCGACCGTATCTCAAATGCTTTGACAAATGTAACAATGTTTATTCTGTTTATTCTTCTCGTTGTCTCAAACAAATCTAAGATAAACATAAATTTTGCTTTAACATCGAAGCTGGCCATTTCGTGTGTGTGTGTGTGTGTGTGTGTGAGTGTGTCTGTGTTTGTGTGTGAGTGTGTCTGTGTTTGTGTGTGTGTGTGTGTGTGTGTGTGTGTGAAGATTTTAAGAGTACCAAAAATAAGTTAATTTCGGATGTATTTCAATAAAGATTTCGCAATTTAAATAAATTCATTCATGAAAACCCTTTTTGTTTTAATTTGGGTAATTTTTTTAGTCAACCTGCAAAAATATTTTTTACGAAACCAAAATTATAATCTTAACGAAGATTAAATTACTACAATACAGTACAAAATTAAAAATATATTGGATGAAGCTGTTTTTTATTATTATTATTATTATTATTATTATTATTATTTGTGTATGTTATGTTTCCTGCTTTGTATCCTGTAGAGCCGGGTCCATACTATGGTCTTTAGGCTTTATAGGAGAATTGTCATTTAACAGATAGCACTTTTCTTAGCATATGGGTTGTTCCTAGTAGGGTGATCTTCTGGGTAACTTTTTATGTTGGTGTTACCTGGGACACTGTTAGCATTCTTTTTCTCACAAGGCCTAGAGCACCGATTACTATTGGTACAGTCTCAGTCTTTATTCCCCACATCCTGTTAATCTCGATCTCCAGGCCCTTGTATTTGGGCCTCATGGAGGCGTTTCTCTCGGATGGTACTGCTATGCCAATAAGCATAGACTTCCTGAATTTCTTGTCTTTTATAATATCAGGTCTGTTGGCTGTTATTTCCCTGTCAGTTTGAACAGAGGATAGTTACATCGTTGTTTTGGACAACTGTGTCTGGTTGGTGCTCATACCATCTCGATTCTGTGCTTCTTGCATATCTTCCAGTGCACATAGGTCGCTACTTTGTTATGTCTGTGGGTATATTCATTTTTTGCTAGTTCCGGACATCCTGAGATAATATGGTCGACAGTTTCATCATATTTTCCGCAGATCCTTAATTTAGGGTTAGTTCCCTCTTTGATTATATGACAATGTATTATTATTATTATTATTATTAGTAGTAGTAGTAGTAGTAGTAGTAATTCCTTTGATTTCTGTTGTACGCAGATTTCCTTCAGGGCCCCAACCAGAGACCTAAGGTCAGAAATGTCTTCATGATATTTTCCACTGATCATTAAAAAAAAACAACTAAAATCACACATATTTTATATAGCTCTTCGTAATGTGTGAGTTGTACTTATGAGTACATTTTTTTTTTATTTCTTTAAAACATGGATACCAGAGATATTATTATTATTATTATTATTGACTGGTATAAAATAAGGAGATTTTTGGGGGTGTGGGAGGGGGGATATAATTTTTGTACATTAGAATTCTTTAAAGTTTAAAACCCTTCTTAGTTTGCTACATTTCTCAGAATCGAAAATATCGATTCCTTATCGATTTAGAAGAGAAGTTCTCTTCATAATAAATAGGAGTGTAAAATCGATTCCAGACTTTAACAGAGTTATTGGACTATTTAAGTAGTGTTATTATTATTATTATTATTATTATTATTATTGTTGTTGTTGTTGTTGTTGTTGTCGTTATCGTTATTATTATTTGCTAGTGAATTTTGGCAAATTATGATACCCTTAAATTAGAGAAAATCTTTTTTATCCACAGCTTTTGGCAAAAATAGAAGGTAGCAAATATCGGAGTGACTTTCCCCGAAGAGAAAATCAAAACTCAATAGTTTGTTCTGCAATCCAAAGAAATCCTGAAAGAAAGAAAGAAATCCTGAAAGAAAGAAATCCTGAAAGAAAGAAAGAAATCCTGAAAGAAAGAAATCCTGAAAGAAAGAAAGAAATCCTGAAAGAAAAAAATCCTGAAAGAAAGAAATCCTGAAAGAAAGAAATCCTGAAAGAAAGAAAGAAATCCTGAAAGAAAGAAATCCTGAAAGAAAGAAAGAAATCCTGAAAGAAAGAAAGAAATCCTGAAAGAAAGAAATCCTGAAAGAAAGAAAGAAATCCTGAAAGAAAGAAAGAAATCCTGAAAGAAAGAAAGAAATCCTGAAAGAAAGAAATCCTGAAAGAAAGAAATCCTGAAAGAAAGAAAGAAATCCTGAAAGAAAGAAATCCTGAAAGAAAGAAAGAAATCCTGAAAGAAAGAAATCCTGAAAGAAAGAAAGAAATCCTGAAAGAAAGAAAGAAATCCTGAAAGAAAGAAAGAAATCCTGAAAGAAAGAAATCCTGAAAGAAAGAAAGAAATCCTGAAAGAAAGAAAGAAATCCTGAAAGAAAGAAATCCTGAAAGAAAGAAAGAAATCCTGAAAGAAAGAAATCCTGAAAGAAAGAAATCCTGAAAGAAAGAAAGAAATCCTGAAAGAAAGAAATCCTGAAAGAAAGAAAGAAATCCTGAAAGAAAGAAATCCTGAAAGAAAGAAATCCTGAAAGAAAGAAAGAAATCCTGAAAGAAAGAAATCCTGAAAGAAAGAAATCCTGAAAGAAAGAAAGAAATCCTGAAAGAAAGAAAGAAATCCTGAAAGAAAGAAATCCTGAAAGAAAGAAAGAAATCCTGAAAGAAAGAAAGAAATCCTGAAAGAAAGAAATCCTGAAAGAAAGAAAGAAATCCTGAAAGAAAGAAAGAAATCCTGAAAGAAAGAAAGAAATCCTGAATGAAAGAAATCTGAAATATAGAAAGAAATCCTGAATGAAAGAAATCTGGGGAAAATATAGAAAGAAATCCTGAATGAAAGAAATCTGGAAATAAATCCAGAAAGAAATCCTGAATGAAAGAAAGAAACTCCTGAAAGAAAGAAACCTGAAAGAAAGAAAGAAACCTGAAAGAAAGAAAGAAACCTGAAAGAAAGAAATCCTGAAAGAAAGAAAGAAATCCTGAAAGAAAGAAATCCTGAAAGAAAGAAATCCTGAAAGAAAGAAAGAAATCCTGAAAGAAAGAAATCCTGAAAGAAAGAAAGAAATCCTGAAAGAAAGAAATCCTGAAAGAAAGGGATAAAAACTAAAAAGTAATGAGAAAAGCAAAAGAAATAAAGCGGGAAAGGGATAAAATTAAAAACAGTAATGAGAAAATAAAAAGAAATTGCGAAAGAAATCTCGAAAGAAATCACGAAATAAATAAATAAATAAATAAAGAAAGAAAGAAAGAAAGAAAGAAAGAATAATAAGGATAAGCAGTAATGAGAAAAGAGAAAGAAAGGGAGAAAGGGATAAAAACAGTAATGAGAAAATAAAAAGAAATCCCGAAAGAAAGAAAGAAAGAAAGAAATCCCGAAAGAAAGAAAGAAAGAAAGAAAGAAAGAAAGAAACTAATAGGCAGTAAATGAGAAGAGAAAAAGAAAGAAACAAACAAACAAAGGGATAAAGAGATGAGAAAAAAGAAAGAAAGAAAGAAAGAAAGAAGGGATAAGCAGTAATGAGAAAGAAAAGTATAAAAGATACAAAGAAAAGGAAAGAGAAAATTTGTGAGAGGAGAGATACATCAGTTGAACGTGAACAATGTTGTGATTGTAGTAGTTAGTAGCAGTCAGAATGATAATAGTAGTTACTCAGAATATTAATAGTGGCAATAGTAGTCAGTATAGTAATAGTAGTAGTAATAGCACTAATACTAGTAGTAGTATTAAGCGATAGTTTTAACAAAGCAGCATATGAAGATGTCAAGCAAAGCGGTTCTTTGTTGTAGAGAAAGTAATTTAAGTGATAAGAAAAGCCTCGCAATTGCTGGTTGTGTTTAGCCGTGATCGTCTAGTGGTTAGGACCCCACGTTGTGGCCGTGGTAACCCAGGTTCGAATCCTGGTCACGGCATTTGAATAAGACAGCCACTTTTTTATTTTATTTAATTGATGAGCTTTTTGTTTTCATGATCGTTACTACGAATTTCATGCAGACATACTTTCGCTCATATTGTATGTTAGACTCTGACTGAGCGCTACATTGATGTGGCCTTGAACCAGACTATGACAAGTTAAGTAAATGATAAGAAAGTATGTATAAAAAAATAGTAAAAATGAATTTAGTCTATGTTCAATTTTAATTTTTAAGTTACTTATTGATTTATTTATATAAACGTTAGTGGCTACCCGAGTTTAAGTAAAAACACCTCTTTTTTAGAATTTTCCTTGAAAAAAATCTAAAACAATAATGTCTATTCAAATAATTGTATCAAATTGACTCAATTAAATTAAATGTAATGTTTTTATAAGAAATAAAATCAGATTAAAAACTCACTGAATAATTAAAAATATAGATTTATAGAAAAAAAAAAAAGAGACAAAAACTTGTTTTATGTGCCGTGTCCCTTCAGGACGTAGGCGAACATGGCTCTCCACTTCTTCCTATCCCTTATAGCTCTCAATAAGTTCTGTCCCTTTGTTACTTCCCTCAGGCCATGTTCTGTCATCCACTTGCTTAAGCCCGCTAGGTATGTCATCCGTTTCTTTCCCTTGTCTCTCTTCCCCTCTATTCGCCCTGTGAGTATCAGATTCTTCAAGCCCTCTTTTCTCATTACGTGTCCCAGAAATTTCAACTACCTCTTCCTGATGCTAAGTATAAGCTTCCATCTTGTTTGCATCCTCTCCAAAACCTCATCGTTGCTCAAACGCTCGGTCCATGATATCCTTAGCATCCTTCTGTAGAGCCATATCCCCGTTGCTTCGAGTCTCTTCTTCATCTTTGACATTCGCTACGGAAATAAAATTCAAATTCAAGAAATTTATTTTTCTTGCGAGCTGTAAGGAAATTTTTTTTTCGGGTTTGTTGTATATCTGTGTATATAATGTTAAAGGTTAAAGGTCATAATTTCAAAGTCTATTTTTCGGACAGACTTTCTTCACTTACAATATTATTTGCCGCTTCTTTCATTTTGCAATGCTCGAAGCTCAATAAAGACGACCACTACACCAGTAATGGCGCATAAATTTCATCTACATTAGTTAGTATGCAAATTATTATATTCGCAATGCATCTTCTTCAACATAAAATAGAGAAAAATCAAGAAAAAATGATTCTGAATGGAAAATCCACATCGTAAAATTTGACAATGCAATATTTCAAGTGTTTCTTTCAGTTGATTTTATACACTCACGACATATGACACTTCTTCTTCTTCTTCTTCTTCTTCTTCTTCTTCTTCTTCTTCTCCTCCTCCTCCTACTTCTCCTCCTCCTCCTACTTCTCCTCCTCCTCCTACTTCTCCTCCTCCTCCTCCTTCTTGTTGTACCGTGTCGCTTTAGGACGTTGGTGGTCATGGCTTTTCACAATTTCCTGTTCATTTTAGCCTGTAATAAATTTTATCTTTTTGATATCTCTCCTAATCCCTGTTCTGCCCTCCATTTTCTCAAGCTCACCGGGTAGATTACGCCTTGTATTCCACCGTCCCTCTTGCTTTCAATCTGTCCTGTGAGTATCAAATTCTCTAAGCTCTCTTTCCTTATTATATGCCCAAGAAATTTCAACTTCTGATATATTAAGTAAAGGAAGAAAATCGATATCCCAGGAGTTATTAAAAAGTTATTGGTCTGGCCCACTTGCTAAAATTTGATCAAATATAATTTTTTTTTTTTTGAGGTGGGGAGGGGAGTGATTTTGGTCGAACTGCACAATTTGTAATTCCCCTCACCATGATATTCAGATACTGAAATCCTCAGCATTGATTCCTTGATCTGTTTTTTTTTTTTTTTTTTTTTACGACTTGCCCAAGTCGAGGGTTAACCGTTATCTTCCCTACATATCCCTATAAACTGTGCTTCTTACTCTGTAACCCTCTACTTCGAATGGCTCTTGGGCCCTGTACAGGGTGAATATCATTGTAAAAAAGTGTTTGTGCACGTCGATTAATATTTTAGTGAAGGAGTTACCTAAAATATAAAATCCGCCAGCCCTAAGATTACCATTAGCCGACAAGGTAGATTAGGAGGGGGTGGGGATTCGTCCTGGAGTACGTGGTATGGCAGGTCACAACCGGTGAAACCAAAGACATTTTAACGTGTAAATAACGATGGAGTAGAGAGAGGATTGCGACATTTCGTCTGTGGGAAAGGGAGTGTACAGGGTGGCCCGAAGGTCTTGTCACTCCCATAATAATAAAATTTTCTATTTCAACGCTCTGTGGGGTATTATCAAAAAGAGTTTCACATGAATGAAACCCGAAATACCCATCAGTTAAAGGATGCCGTTCGAAGAGCCTTTGCAACAATCAACAAAGCACAGCTTCGTAAAATATCACACAGGACATGGCGCCGTACCATTTTGTGCCACGAAAATGATGGTGTTTATACAGACCTCCTCGATGCGTGACAGTGAATAAACTGAATTCAGTACAGTACAGTACCGTAATACTTGTTCTATTGTTCTCATTACTTTTTGGTAGCGCGTGACAAGACTTTTGGACCACACCGTAGTTTAAAATACATCCCTCAGAAAAAAGAGCTTCCTTTTAAATACTGATTGAAGACCGTAAGAAAGAATAGATCGGCCGAAACGTGATCTACAGAAGTAAACATAAAATATTTATTATGCGAACATTTCTTGGTTATATTTTTGATCTACAGGGTGGTCTGAAAGTCTTGTCACCCCTAGGTAATATAACGTGCTTTGTATTACTACATTACTTCTATAGTGGTCGTCTTTCGAGTAAGGGATGACAAGACTTTCGGACCACTCTGTATATTGTGATGTAAGGTAGATATGCAGGGTGGTCCTAAAGTCTTGACACCCGTACATAATATAATTTTTATTTTTCAGGTGGATGACACGAAAATAATGGTGTTAATACAGATCTTCTTGATGTGTGACAGCGTCAATGCAAATTGGATAAAGTGAATTCAGTACATGTGCTTTGTATTACGTGTTCTTTTATTGTCATTACGTTTACGGAAGAGGGTGACAAGACTTTTGAACCATCCTGTAGTATAAAATACACCCCTTAAAGAAAAAGAGTTCCTTTTAAATACTGACCAAAGACGGTAAGAAAGAACAGGTTGGTCTAAACGTGATCTACAGAAGGAAACATATTTATTATCCGAACATTTCTTGATGATGATACTTTCGATCTACAGGGTGGTCCGAAAGTCTTGTCACTCCTAGACAGCATAACGTTTTGTATTAGTTCTATTGTTCTCGCGTTTTCGTAGAGGTGACAAAACTTTCGGACCATCCTGTAAAATGGAAAATCTCATCACCCACAAGGCGTAGAAGACGCTTCTGAAGTCTATGAAGTCTGGGAAGAGAGGATTGGATAGCACTAAACTATTACTGGACTGATTTGGATCTTGTAAATATATTTCCTGACATGGGTGCCTTCTACAGCGGTACAAGGAACCGAATATTTTCCGGGCCTAATCGAGAAGAAAATATTAGGATAGAACTTACGGTTAGAACTAGTAACTTCAACAGTGCAATTGTGAGACCTAGCCGCCAATCTAGTACAGCGCTTGAATTCGTGAAGTCGAGTAAGCAACGAGAAACGTTCATCAAAACAATTGGCATGAAAATATTTATAGAAAAGGTACAGAGAAATTACGTTACGGCGGTGGGGAAGTGACTGAAGTCGAGATGACAATAGTGATTGAATACTGAGGTACCAGAAACTATATATATATATATATATATATATATATATATATATATATATATATATATATATATAATATAAGAACATTGGAGTCAACACTCAGAGGCGACAGACTGTTTTATGCTGGACGCAATCGTCAGGAAAACGATTGCTTGCAGGGAAACACCTGTCGCCTGAGTGTTGACTTCAATGTTCACTTATATATATATATATATTTACATACGCTCAAAACTATATTTCTTCATATACATATGTATATATATATATATATATTCTTCATATACATATATATACATATATATATATATATATATATATATATATATCATTTCTTCATATACATATATATATATATTATCATTATTATTATTATAAGAGATTGTAATAAAAATATTTTGAAATCGCTACACAAAAGCTTTCATGTTTCCATATTTCAATTGTACTTCTTCAACAGGTGGGGGGAGTTATTTTTTCATGTCATGATAAACCGGAACATAGACAGGCCATCATTGACAATTGAGGAAAATATGTAAGCAATATTTATAAGAAATATTTGTCGCTTATATATTTTCCGCAATTGTCAATATAACTCCACCACCACCACCCTCTGAACTTTTCTATTTAGCGCAGATCTGATATGTAATTGGTTAGTCAAGACATACCCACAAGTCTATTTTTAATTCTAACCATATGTTCACCCACTTCCATCTTTCGGAAAAGAGGTAACACTTTGCTTTTCAAATTTTCTTAAAAATCATTTAATCACCTGTTACTTACCATCGCCTGAAGAAGTACAGTCATAGTATTGAAACGTGAAAGCTTTTGTGCAGCGATTTCAACATGTTTTATTATAATAAAAATATGATAATAATATATTGCACTACTTTCTATTGAGCACTTAATTAAAA